GCTTCAATCGAATAGACATTCCACCTTATGAAACCTATGAAAAGCTCTATGAAAAGCTGCTAACGGCCATCGAAGAGACATGTGGATTTGCTGTGGAGTGATGAGCGCCAAGGACTTACCTAGAACTCTTATTTATCCCCCAGGCCGACAGCCTCCTTCAGCAGCGCTTCAGAGAACGCTGGGACACAGGACAGCCCCTCCCCTGCCCCTTAGATTCTAGGACACTGTGAGGGGAAAGGACAATTTTGAAATTCCTTTTCAAGGAAAAGTAAAGGTCTTTATGCTTTGCCATGAGGACACACTCAGCTGCTATTTAAAAATTAATACCTTGAACTAAAGAATGCTGACTCCCTGCATCTCCAGAGTTAGGCAGTATTCTACACTTAAAGACTACTACTATTTTTATAAAAGGTTATCTATCCAAATTGCTTCACAGACTCGAGCCTCTCGCACAGCAAGACAACTCCAGCAGTCGGTACAAGTCACATTTCATTTTGATTGAATACATGATTTTTGAACAGCTCCTCTACTCGCTCTTTGTAAAAACTAAATAAAGTTATTTTGAATTATTCCACCTTTGTAAACAATTGGCTGTAGGAATCATTACCTTTATGAAATTAAGCCATTTACATGTTTAGTTGTGTTTTTCTATGGCAGACAGAGCATTCTATTTTGCATTATGTGGGTCACCCTAGCCTAGGTGGGGTTTTATATTTTTCAAGTGTGACTTTCTTGGAAATTCCTAATACAACCATTTAAACTGAGTTTATTTGCTACCCTCCCTGTTTTTAAGAAAACAAAACAAAACAAAAAAACAAAACCTCATGTTCTTGAATCAAGAAGATCAGGTATTTTGGATTTCCTCTCATCTTCGATTGAAATACCGCATTTTTATAGCTTCTCCGCATGTGATGGGATTTTCATTCTTTGCTGGGTCAGCTTGTCTTTTATATGCTATTTCTATAAACCAAAGCCTCTAATAAGTACATCTAACTTATATTTTAATTAAGTTTCTAAAAGGAAAATTTTTGCTCTAAAGATTGTTTAGCCTAGAGAGCCCTGCTATTAACCTCACTGGGAGAACTGGAGGTGGCAGTGGACATGGAGGCAGGGACTGTCGTACGTGAGTGACGTCAGGTGTGCTGGCCATGCCTGTGATCCTGCTCCTGGGAGCCTGTGGCAGGGGAGCAGTTCAGGTTCAAGGCCAGCCTGGGCTACATAGCAGATCTTGCCACAAATATGAGTGACTCTAAGTTTATTGTACAATTTACTCTAAAACTGAAGAGTTCATTTAGAAGTAAGGGAGTGGAGCCCTGGCTGCCACATTGCTGACTTCCAAGTATTCAGGTTGAGCTTTCAAGGTGTGGGGCTCATCCCGTGATCCAGAAGGTAACCAAAATTCTAGGGTGAGGGATTGCAAGCATCTAAAATCACATTGCATTTTAAAATTCAACCATCAAAACAATGCACTATTATTTTTAAACATGATGTAAAATAAGAATAGCGAATTTTGAGAGCTTGGACACAAGAACATGAAGAATACTTGACAGGAATTGACTAAGCCTGGTAGCTGACACCTGTATTCCTGTCATTGGGAAAGCAGAAGCAGGAGGAGGAGGTGGTCAAGGAATGTGTCATCTACATGGTGGATGTGATGCTACTTGAGACCCTGTCTCCAGAGGGTGAGCACCTTAACTGAGCAGGATGCAGTGATAGTGAGATGCTGCTTTCAGTAGTTTTCCATGCAGTGTAAAGCAGGCAAATCCCATCCCTCTTTGAGTGCCTTTTAACTATAACAATGACTTGACAGAGCTTTAAAGGAAATCGCCCTATGTAAGTAAGTCTTCAATAGCACATGACAGCCGAAAACATGATTTAGATTTCAGCTTCAAAATTATATTACCTGATTACTTCTAAATCGGTGCTAAGCAAACAAAAAGCCCCAATGTCATTGAACCTGGACCTGCCTTGTGTTTAATGTGAATATTTATGTTTCCATGTTCCTTCCTCCAGTTGGGCTGTTTTGCCATCCATCCATCCATCCCCTTTCTCTCCATCGGGAAAGCTCGATTTTGACCAGTGGTTACTTTGTAGTGCTCGCATACAGTAAGAGGCCATTGTCTCTTGGCATAAAGGTTTAAGTAGTGCTATGTAGCCTGTACATTTTATTTTGCAGTTTGCCGCCCCGCAGTTTTATGGGTTAATTTAAGTGTCAGAGCTAGTCAGTAATAAGCCTGAGCTAATGTCTAAGCAGTTATAATTAATATAAGCTTCTGAGTATTTTATAAATGGCTACGGGGTCTGTGGGGCTGGGCCTGTGGGGCTCCTGCCGCCCCCCCCCCCCCTGAATTCACAGGCCAGAGCACGAATTCCTCTTCTTGAGCCACTGTGACCTGCTTTCTCTGACAACACTAAACTGCTCTGAACTCCCAGTGCGCGATGGACAGCTAGCACTGATGGGTGGGTGTTAGCCGCCTCCAGCGCCTGTCTCTCAGCTGCAGCTTACTGCCGGTGACCACATGGGGTGGTTAATGGCCTCACACTAGGATGACGATTGTACCAAATGCTGAGTTGCTTATTCTAGATGTAATTAGTTCACTTTATGTAATATTCTTCTCTCAAACTGACTTTAAAAATAAAGTTTTATCATTTTCATTGTATTTATTACAGAATGTTTTAGCTTTGATATTCTTTGTATTTTCACTCATTTGTTACATGAGCTTTATCAATAACATCTGTATAAATGGTTTTTAAAAATTAACTATGTATGTGTATGTATGTGCCCATGCCGAAGTTGAGCAATAAAATGAATGCTGTTTGCACTGTCACAGCAGCAAAGTTTTTAAGAATATCGAGTTTTTACTTGTTTTGAAAAACGCATTTAGCTTTTCACAGGGTGATAGATAGCATGGAATCTTGGAATGAGAAGAAAGCTGCTTTCTAGGGCTTCAGCGAGTCTAGGACCTGGCTGCCCTGAGGTAGAGCAGGAAGGTAAGTGTTTCTCTGCTGTGGCAGCCTGAGAAGTTTCCAGTGGTTGCTGGGGACTGTGAGGTGATGGGATTTCTGAGGCTGGTCTGTGATTAGTGTAGGGAAATATGTATGTAGCTGAAGTTTTTCTGGTCCTGCCCAGCCCCACAGACCCCGTAGCCATTTATAAAATACTCAGAAGCTTATATTAATTATAACTGCTTAGACATTAGCTCAGGCTTATTACTGACTAGCTCTGACACTTAAATTAACCCATAATTCTTACCTATATTTAGCCACGTGGCTTGGTACCTTTCCTCAGTTCTGCCTTGTCATCTTGCTTCCTCCATGTCTGGCTGGTGACTCCTGACTCTACCCTTCTTCTTCCCAGCCACCTTCTCATCTGCTCACCCCACCTATACTTCCTGTCTGGCTACTGGCCAATCAACATTTTATTAAATCAATATACAAGAGCTTTATCCCACAGTAGATGTATATCTACAACCAGGTCCTTCTGGGGTCTGGAGGGCAGAGCTGTGGTTGATAGGTGGCCTGACATTTGCCAGCGTGCCTTGGTGGTGAACAGTAAAGTCTTGAAGATGAAAAGGAGACAGGTGTTACAACTCTGGGTGGAATGCCAGTTGATGAAAAGTAAAGCTAAATACAGAGGTGGAGAAGGAATGCATGTGGTTTCATTTTCCACCTAGAGTGTGGTCTGTGGATCTCTACACAGCAGAGGCGGCAACAGGAACATCTGGAAAATGCAGAGTAGACAGCAGTGGTGTGTGACAGATGTAGACAGGGTCGTGTGGCTACTTCCTCCAGTTCCTTCCTAGAGAGAAGGGGGGCGCACAGGACACAGGAAGCCCACAAAAACCTCCAAGGCATGCTCACAGTCTTGAAAGAAAAAAAAAAAAGTAAAGGGAGCTGCACCCCAGTGATACTGCTCTCTGTCAAAACCCATCTGGAGGCTTTCCAGTAGCATGCGTCTGTTAGATTTGGGTGGGATTGTCTCTTTGTTGCCAGTTTCCTGAGGTGAAGAATGTTTGTTCATGTCTCCCCAGCAGATGACCCTGCTGCACTATTTCACCTTCAACTTCACACTGTGTGTTTATAGGCTATCTAAAACAAAACTCTAGTACATTAAAGGCTTTTGGTATTTAATAGCATATAAACCAGACCAGTTTGGTTTGAGGACTTTGTCTGAAAGTAGTTCTGCTTTGTGGTAACCAGTAGATCACCCCTGTCATTGAGGACAGAGTAAACATGTTCCCGTGTTTGGGTTTTCTATCCCAGGTAATCACAGTAGGATAACACAAGTGACCACGAGACCAGTTACAGGATAAATGAGGCGATTACACAGAAGGGTTAACACTTTAACTGTAACTAGACAAACCAGTTCAAAGTTAAAATTGATTTTATTTAAAAGGTACTCAGGAGCCTACTAGAGGGTTGAGAGGTTTGAGGCAAGCCTGCATTTCAATAGTTAGGAAGGCCTGTCTCAAAACAAGAAAAGTATCTCCCCTAAATGTGACTTGCTCTTCATCAAGTTCTGTAATTTTCCAGTGTGCTAGGCTAGGCTGATGGTTTGAGATGACTATCGGTTCAGTGGCTTTTGTTTGTGTTGGGATTAAAGGCATACAAGGCATACACTGCTACACCCAGATTATCACTGGCCTCTGCAGAGTCAACACAGAACTCACTGGTTAGTATGAAGCCAGTCATCCCTGAGTGGAGGCTGCCTCTCTGGCCAGGAAGTAGATGAGGCTAGGGGAATACAAGTCAGCTCCCACCATGGCAGAGGAGAACTTCAGCTAGCTCCTGAACCCCAAACAGTAGACATTATTGGCTTTATCCAGTCTGTAGGATACTGATCCTCGGTCCTGGCTGTGTCCTTAGCAGTCAACAGCTTTTGCTGACCTCCATCAAGAGGCTTCAGGAGTTGGCTGGCAGGACTTGCTAACTGCTTTAGCATAAAATGTGCCTTTAATTCCCTTTTCTTGGGTCTTAGGTTATAACTTCAAAAGCAGTAAGCGTTAAGAAAAATAGTTTTTATTTAAAAAAATAAGTTTTGGCATGAATACATAGATAAAGCATTTAAAAAATAATTCTGGTTTAGACAGTTTACTGGCTCAGGTCTAGCTATGTCCACACATTAAGGTCTCTAGAAACGTCACCTATGATGTCTGGCCTCTTGGGAAAGGGTTTCTACTGTACTGGAAGGAGGCCAGTTGCAGCCGAGCTCTGAAGCGCTCCGCTTCTAGTTCCCGGAAGAAAGCATCCTCGTCGTTCCGGGTGACCATGTACTGCAGCTGCTGGATCTCCTTCTCCATCTTCGCTCTCAGCTCCCTCTTCACCTTATGTAACGTCTGAAGGAGAACTCATGTCAGTCTGCAGCTGTGACTCTTACCCAGGCCCCTCCATTCTTACCCCCGACCTGCCAGCTCCTCGCGGGCTCCTCCGAGACCAGAGCAGGTATGTCAGAGCCCATCAGGTATTTTGGAGCAGAGATGGATTCTCTTACTCATATTCTCCATTCTTTTAAAGTTACAATAACATTTTCTATTTCCTTTTAGGAATAGTTCCTAATTCCTATCCTGTTAATTATTACCTGAGCCTGAGATTTTTCTCTGGCTTTGAGTTCCTGCCGCTCCTGTGATATGGCTTCTGCCAGCAATGAAAACTGTAGGAAAGGGGAAAAAAACACAGATCTTCCATCACAGTACAGTTATTCTTAATCCCCCATCTTCAATCTTAGTGTTAATAGGGTGACACATACTGTGTACTGTTGCCAGGGACTGGCTTATTTCGTCTTAAATTGGCCTTAGAAATCATCAGTATAGCCTGTATGGTGCTGCAAAGCCCTGTGCTAATTTGCATATTAACCAGCAATGAACTAAGCCAACCTGACAGGTGGCTGGGATCACACACTAATGGCGGCAGCACAAGCCCACCTGGTCCTTATAGTAGTTTTCCATCGAGTCCAGTTCATTCTGGTGCTGTCTCTTTTCTTCGTTGCGTTTCTCTTTGGCGTAGTTTCTTAGGTCTCGTAGTCTTTGCTTCTGAATTTGTAAACCTTCTTCAAACAGTTTCTTAAAGATCTGTTGGTTATTTAATCACTAATTAGACAGCACTTGTCACTGAGGAGAATGATGGTTTTGCTGAACTGGAGGTATATACTGATTGCATTTCACAAGGGCTTTTCGAAATAACAATTTTACTCATAATTCACAGACATAAAATTCCTCTCTTAAAAAGCATATACATCATGAGTAGGTTTTAGCAGACTCTGGATTGTGTAACCAGCGCTAGTTTCAAACATCCCCATCCCCTCAGACACGAAACCCCACACTCGTCAGCACTGCTTGCACGCTCCCCCCCCCCCCTTTTCTGTGGAACTGCCTCTTCTGGACACAGCCTTCACCAGGCGTGCTTTCAGAGTCCGAGTCCCTGCAGACATGGTTGTGTCACTGTTTGTCACTCTGAAGATAAATTTTGCTCACATATTCTTGAGCTGATGGACATGGGCCCCTTTCAGCTGTTACAGTTTTGGTTGCTATGTGGATATGGATGTGTGTGTGTGTACATACATACACCCATCCATCCATCCAGAAGAATTAACTCTACAGCATTCCAGGAACCTTTTAGAAGTACCACCAGACTTTCCAAAATCATCCCCCAACCCCGCCAGCCTGGCAGGAGTGCTCCATCTTCTCCGTGTCTGCACAATTCTCCTCTTTACTTTAGCCATCCTAGTGGGTGTGAGCAGGCTGTGCTGAGATTTTCATTTGTACTTCCCCACTGATGGAAGAATGGTGCTCAACATCATTCATGTACCCCAGGACTCTTTTCTGCCCTCAGAATTCTCAAGCATCCATTGTATGTAAGGCAAGATGGAAACCACTGCTTCTGCACCTCACTAAGTACTTAGTTGAAGGTGAAGGGGTCAGCATTTGGGCAGCCACCATAAAACAACTGTTGAAGAGGTTTGGACATAAGTAGGTGGCATGCACAGCTGGTAACAAAGCATGATCAAACTCAAGCCCTGGCGGAATTTGGATTTGGGAATCAAACTGAGGTCAGAGCTGTAGACAAAGAAGTTGGTCTTGAGACGTAACACCAAGCTCACCTTAGCAGACTGGCTAGGTAAGATGGAGAGGCACACGTACCATTTCTTCCCGGGTTCTCATCCTCATCATTTTTGCACGTAACTGAACTCTGTAATCATCATAGTACTTTCGGGCACGAACAATTTGCTGACGATTTTCTTTTATCTTTGATTGGGTCAGCCTTTGTCTATGAATTCGGTCCTTGAAGTCTTGCTAGGGAAGAAGGGAATAAGACAAGCAGGCCGTCTAGAGCATTCATTTTCATGCCCTCAGCCTGCTATCCTGAATGTCTTCCAGCTGTAAGCTAGGCATGAGGGGAAGACCATTAGCCCACACAAGTTCCTCTCTGTAGCTGCATCACTCAAGCTGAGGCACAGCACGGGCAGGTCCCAATGTGCAGCAGGGTGAACAGGCCTCCCTGAGGGAGTATTCTGAGCCAAGAGTTTTGCCTTTTGTCTGTCAGGTCAGATGTTCCTGACCCACAGCGAAGATCCACAGGCAATGTTGGGGATGACTTTTTTGAAACTATTTAAGATTAAGATTAGCATTTCCATGACTTAGCCCACTCCATACCCAACTAAAGATTTTTAAATCTCTTTATTTGGCAGACTGACCTCTGCCATTTCCCTTCATTTTACTAACTGGGGACAATGTTAAGAATGATTTCCAATCCAAATTATAACAAAAACTGGCTCTCTCCCTGGGACCTGAAAAGACAGGAGACCAAAGAGCACTAAGCTACAACTCTTAAGCCCTAGATGGACTGTGGAGGTAGAGGCAGAAATGGGATCAAATCTCAACTGTGCCTTTTGTTTATCGGAGAAAGCCAGGCAAGTCATGTTACATCTGAAAGCCTAGGTTTTTCATCTCAGAAAATACCATCACTAATTTGTTACTATAAAGAAGTGAAAGCCAGCCAGATGGCAAGGATAAAGAGTGTTCTGCAGCCAACTGGTGGACGGGTTTCAGTGCTGTGTCTGGAGAATGTGGCATCAATCTTCCCCATCATCACTTTTGAGTCAGAGCCCTGCATACTCCCACAGGCAAGTGCTAGAAGAGTCTGCTGCCTAGTTGACACAAATAAAGAAAAACGACATGGCCCCGTTTGCTCTTGACATACCAATCTCTTGTTGTGTTCATATTCCTTCTTGACAAGGGCAGTCAGGAGGTCATGCCTTCTCAGGGCTTCTTCTATCTTTAAGGTGAACACAAAGCAAGGTTAACAATGCTGCTCAAGGACATGCTCTCCCGTGTGTATTCCTATGCTTACGCTTCAAAGGGACAGCGCTTACTTGATCCTGGAGCTTCTTTTTGGATCGGCCTTCTCTCTGTGCTTCTCTTTTGAGTTGTTCAACCTGTGCAATTTGCTGCTTCCACATTTTGGTCAGTGTTGGGTCAGAAACATAAAGAAATGGAAACTGTTCCAACATCAGGGGCAGAAGACTGTATTCATTTACTTTCACTGTGGGAAAATGAGAGATGCTGTTCATCTATCCAACTTACGATAAAAGAACTCTCATCCCCACCTGCCTGTCAGACTAAGCTAATCTCAGGTGCTGGTCCTAAAAAGAACCATCTGGAGTGTACTTGATACTTCTGCATCCCTACTGAGGATGGAAAGCTCAATGGTTCCAACCCTAATCCTGAGGAATCCATCCGAACTCCTTAGCGGCCTTGGGGCCTGTGTGCAGATGCTTCCTGTGTGTGTAAATGGAAGACACTCCAACTTCCTGCTAGGCATATGGTTAGAAGAAAAAGGCCCTAATGGGATGTAGTTGGAAGCCTGGCATCTCACCTGACCTTGCAACACAGCTCTAACTAAGCAGCACCAACTGTCAGCGGCTGAGCAGGCCATCTGCTTGCCTTGGAGCATCACTTGCCTTTCACCAACTTCCAGAACAAAAAGGGTGACTAGACGGAGTGAACAGAGGCTCCTGCTAGAGCAACAGCAGGTGCCCGGCAATTCTTTGGGTGTCCATAGATGACTCACTCCATAAGGCACCTCATTTAGGAGTTTGGTTCTGATTACAGAAAAACCCAGCCGTATGGCAGGAATACCAGAAGGGCCTTTCTGCAGCTAACTGGTGGCTAGATGTCCGTTTCCAGCAGCCTCTGGAATACAGCACGCACGTCCAGAGGCTGCATTGCCATGAAGGACGCTGCAGGCTCTTACTTGGAGCTGCCTTGCTTGACTTCAGGAGACCACCTTTTGGACTTGGAGCTGCCGCTTTTCTGGAGTAAATCTTCTGGACCTGACTCTGTTTTGGAGTTCCTTTAGGAATGGCTTCTCTGTGTGTTTTTTCCTTAGAGGCAGAGAGAAAAGGACGGAATGAGGAAGGGGTGTAAACCTCACCCACGCACCTCACACAGCACACTGACAACAGCTAACGCCCTCAGCCGACCGTCTTCCTACTCTCTTTTCTCTCACCCCACAAACTGGCTTTCCCCGCTTTCGTAACCATAGTCCCAAACCCTAAATATAACTACAATTTTTCACATGCCACTTTGACAGCCTTTTTTTCTCTGTATATTAAAAAACTCACTGGGTGGTGGTGGTGGTGGTGGTGGTGGTGGTGGTGGTGGTGGTGGTGGTGGTGGTGGTGGTGGTGGTGGTGGTAGTGGTAGTGGTGGTGCACACCTTTAATCCCAGCACTCGGGAGGCAGAGCCAGGCGGATCTCTGTGACTTCGAGGCCAGCCTGGGCTACAGAGTGAGATCCAGGACAGGCACCAAAACTACACAGAGAAACCCCGTCTTGAAAAAAACAAAAAAACCTCAAGAGGCTGGAGCGATGGCTCAGAGGTTGAGAGCACTGATTCCTCTTCCAGAGGACCTCAGTTAAATTCCCAGGACCCACATGGTTCATAACTGTCTGTAACTCCAGTTCCTAAGTTCCTGACACCCTTACATAGGCAAAACACCAATGCACATGAAAAGATAGATGAATATTAAAAAACCCTCAAATAATTCCACAGTATGTTTTTATACTTCTGTCTTGCTTTCATTAGCATATCAGCATAAGCACACACACACCCCCATTCAGGTCAGGAACCACCTTTCCCCTACCCACTCCAATTTATTTATTTAGAGACAGGGTCTATTTAGCCCTGATTATTTATTTATTTTTATTTATTTATATGGGCAGGGTCTGTTTAGTCTTGATTATCTATCTATCCACCTACTTACCTATCTATCTATCTATCTATCTATCTATCTATCTATCTATCTATCTATCTAGAGACAGGGTCTATTTAGTCCTGGTTGTCCTGCAATTCACTATGTAGACCACACTGGCCTCAAACCACAGGGATCCCCCTGCTCCTGCCTCCAAAGTGCTGGGATTAAGGGTGTGCACCTCCACCCCCACCTGGCAACCATCTTTCCAAGGCCAGAGAGCAAGGACTTGGGTTTCTCACAGTCAACTACAGAGAGCTTGGAACCCTGTCCTCCCTTCCTCCTCTTGGTCACCCAGATCCTATTTTAACCCCTTACAAACTGGATGCAAGAACCTCTGAGGCCAAACAAGGTTTAGGCAGAAGGAAAAACTAGTCCTCTTTGGTCCCATTTCTTCTTCTGTCCAAGCAGCCTGAGGAAATCTACATCCTGAACGAAACCCTGCCTTCTAGGGCCAGTGACGCGGGGCCTGCTGGTCCCTTGTGCCTTTAGTCATCGCTGCACTTCTCACTGTCTCTGCATCTACTAGAGCTGGAGATTTTACCCACTGTTTCCTCCTCCTCCTCGGCACTTATCCCTCGAAGTCCAACGTTCTCTTGAACTTTATGTTTTCTTAGTTCCCGTTCAAATGCTTCAGTTAATGCCTAGAAAGAATAGGTCATATAATACAACAGTTGTCAGAAACTTGTGCAAATAGCAATGAAGGGGGAAATTACTCTAGATTCCTATTGTAAAAATACCAAGTTCACTCACTTTTTCCTAAGTTCCTTTTAGGCTGCTTCATAAAAACACATTGTGCTAACAGACATACTCCGTACATAAAATGCAGCTGAATACATGGTTTTTCTTTTTACTATTTTCACAGTTTTATAAAAGTTCATGCTGAGTATAACTATGTATGCCTCAATCACTCCCACCTTGTTTTTCGATACAGGGTCTCTTACCGACCCTGGGGATCAGACTCCAGTCCTCAGGCTACACAGCAAGTATCTGCCCATCTCCCAGCCCTGAGGATAACTATTTTAAGACATATGAATTAACTCCAGTTTTCACCATTTTAAATACAACTATGTTATAAAAATCCACTATGCCAGGAGGTGGTGGCGCATGCCTTTAATCCCAGCACTTGGGAGGTAGAGGCAGGTGGATCTATGAGTTTGGGGGCAGCCTGGTCTATACAGCAAGCTCCAAGACAGCCAGGGAT